CCCACCAGCTGGGAAACGCATAAACTTCAGTTCTAATAAATTGTCTCAAATACTTTCCGCGATAATTTCCTCCCCTCTGTTTGCTCTGCCCTTTCTTTAAGGATCCAGAAAGGAGATACTAGGGGCACCTGGGTGGCTCAGTTGGTTAAGTGTTGGACTTTGGCTCAGGTCATGATCTCATGGCTCGGTTCTCGAGTTTGAACCACTCATCAGGCTCTCTGCTGTCAGCGCAGAGCCCCCTTTGGATCCTCTGGCCCTTCTCTCTCTGCCTCTCCCCCACTCACACTTTCTCTCCCTTTCGCTCAAAAATAAACATTTAAAGAATAGAAAGCAATACTAGATCTCCTGGACTAGTCCTCTAATTTTAAAAAATCTTTTTTCTACTGGTTTCTCTTTTTGCTCTATCTTCTATGCGATTCCACGACCTTTACTTCCCAACCCTTCTAGAGTTTTCCATTTCTATCACATTTTTCAATTTCTAAGAGCTCTATTTTATTCTTTCAACAGCATCCCATTCTTGTTCCATGGTTGCAATATCATTTCTTTTTTCTCCTTGGATCATCTTAATGATAGGCTGTTGCATCAGTATTGACTGTCCTTTCTTCCTACATAGTCTCAAGTTCCTCTAAGTTGCTTTTTCTGTGTGTTCATTTTGGTGTCTACCTTTCGTGGTAAAGACTTTCCTCAGACATCTAGAAATCATTGGCTACCTTATCCCCATAAGACTGAAAAGCTGAACGAAAGCTCTGAATGCAAGGGTGTAGCTTAACAGTGAACTTCAGTGCAGGACAATCTACTTGGATGGCCTGGTGTGCAAATCTGGCTTTCAGTGCCTTTAAATCCTTCCTTGCAGGCTGGTCAGGTTCTACAGAGAGATGTCAATCTCCTGCCTGCGAGGTGAAGCTCCAACTGCCCAAATTTCCGGAATGGGCAGAAGGAAAGCAAGGTCTCATCTCCAGTGTGCACATGGTCACAGAACCCCCTTGCTTTTTTTTTTTAATTCTTTTTTATTTGAGAGAAAGAGAGTGGGTGTGTGTGAGGAGAGGGGGGCAGGAGAGAGAGAGAGAGAGAGAGAGAGAAAATCTTAAGTAGGCTCTATGCTCGCCAGACACAGAGCTCGATCCCATGACTCTGGTATCATGACCTGAGCCAAAATCAAGAGTCAGAC